TTTTAGGAGAATGATATATTTCAAGTGCCCAAATCTCTCTCTCAATTCATTCTACAAATCTAGTGGATTTTTCACCGTCAAATATTCGGACTATAGAGGAATGTCCAAATGATGACGGATGAAAATAATAGCCTTAGCCCGATCTTGGCTTGTAGTCGCATTTTCATTAGCAATTGTATGGATAAGGCCTATTGAAATCAGATGCATTTCTACATCCATGGACCAAATCAGAAAATTATTGCCGATGAGAGACAAAAATTTTAAAAAAAATTTTGCAAGATTTTCCATAATGTATAAAATAAATAATACAAATAATATAAAAATAAAACTTAGCAAAAATAAAATAGACAAAAACCTTCGTGTTGATAAGGTATTATATATTTATAATAATATAATAATGATAAGTAAAGATATATATATATATATATGTAGTGTCGTGTAATATATAACAATATATGTATGTATATGTGTGTACTATTATATATGTATTTAAGTACGATGCATTACCCAATTTAATAGAGAGAGAGTCAGTGAGAGGGAGAGAAAGTAAGCAAATGTAATTAGATTTTGTTCTCATACAACAATATATATATATATAAGTTATAAAAAGGTAATAAATAGCTACAGTGGTGCCAGCAAAACATTACACATCATACACGAATGAGATGATAAAACATCCACGTAATGTTTACGTCGAGGTGATTTGTATAACAGATTAAGGTCTTGCTTATATACTTTTTTATTATTAGAACCCATCATTATTTTATATATTACTGTAGTTGGTTAATCATTGTGATAAGATATTGCTTATTTATTTATTTATTTGTTTATTTATTATTTTTATTGATTTAATATTTTACAAATTTAAATAATGACGTGTATTAAACTTTGTGTATTTAACCATTTCTCTTTCTGATAGATATATAAGTTTGATTCTGTTTTTTAATTAAATTGTAAAAATAGCATAGATAGATTTTAATTATGTTATTATTATTTTATATGTCTACGCATTGATTTATTAGAAAGTGTCAAGTATATAATAGCATATATTTAAGATAAACTGATTTTTTTACTCACATAATGAGATCATTTATCATTTTAATATTGTAATCGGAACATATCCCAAACTAATTTCATGAATAAAATTTTTTTGTAATTTTAGTTCTCTGGCGCCGAAGACGCCCATGTTGCACTCATGTGACTCGCCGGATGACACACGTCTACTAGGTCGGCAACACTTATCTGAGCGTCTGGTCGCTTACCTGGTGGACATGTCTCCTCGAGCGAGTTACGCGGGTGCCAAGTAAGCATCTCCGGTGCCAGAGAACTAAAATTGCAAAAATATTGCACTTATAAAACAAGTTTGCTGACATGCTTCAGTTATGGGGCTAAAATGATAAAGATATCAAGTTATAATTAAAAAATTAGTTTACACATATTTATATTATAGAAACTCAATACTGATATTATAATGAATACATTCATGACACGACAAACAAATTATAAAATTAGCATATTATTATATTTATAATAATATATTTTATTAGAAGTTTAACATATTTTTATATTATAGAATGCGTACATTTGCACTTTAACTAACACATTTCACGGCATAACAAATATATTCTAAAGTTTGCTATTATTACATTTTAAAATAGCACATTATTATTTAAAACATTTATATTATAAAAAATCAAAATTTACATTATAATAAACACATTTCACTACACAACAAACACATTGTAAAATTATCATATTATTACATTTGAAATTACACATTATTAGTATATTTACATTATAGAAGATCAAAACTTACATTCTAATGAACACATTTAACCACATAACAAGCACATTACAAAACTAGTATATTATTATTTTTAAAATAATACAATATATGTTTAGCATATATTTCAATTATACAAAATTCAAATTTACACTATAAAAACCACGTGTTATTATAATACATTGTAAAATTAGCATATTATTTAGCAAAATAAATTATTATTTATTAAATAAAAAAAATATTTCAAGAAGTATATAAAAGAAGAAGACAATAGTTAAGGAATATTTGTAGCATCAAATTCAGCGTTGTTCTCTATTCTCAATTTTGTAGTATATTTGTCCAAAAAAGCGAAATCGGCACAATAGATGCGATCGACGCGATCGTTGGGGACATTAAGGGTGTGTTTGTTTGGGAGATTGGATTTAGAATACACTATTCATCTCTTTTTTTTTTTTTCAAAAAATATCAAATCAAACACTTATTTTTTATTTTTTATATTATACTAAAAATTAATTTTACATTCAAAACATCAAATCTAACACTTATTTATATCGCATCATACAACTATTCAAATTCAAAATTTTTACTATTCAAATCCCAACTCAAAATCCAAACCTTCAAACAAACACAAAGGCGAAAAAGGAAGAGAGATTGAAACATCGATCTTGGAAAGCTTTGAGAAGCGACGAAGTGTTTCTATTCCTTATTATAAAATAAAATACAAATATTACAATCATATTCTTAACGATAATCTCAACTGTTGGATTAACTATTAATCCCAATAAATTAGAACTTATAAACCTGATGTTATTAGCCCTAATCACCAGAATAAAATATATATATTTAATCCGTTCACTTTGTAAATACATGTTATTTTTTAAATACAATATCTATTTTTTTTTTACTAATTATATACTCCATTATACATTATAGATATTATTACATTTATACTCAATTATATAAATGCTATCACAATAAAATAATTTTGACTTACTAAAATTATCACAATTTATTATTAAAATATTATATACCTCTCTTTTAATAAAATTAATCATATATTAATACAAAAATATTCTTAAATTTTATTTAAATTACAAAAATATAATTATTTTATAAAAAAAATAAAAGAGCAAAAATGATAAAATCTTTTTATACACTTTCACAGTATTATTATTTTTTAATCTATTATAAACTATTTCAAACAAACTATTTTAAAAGAAAGATTAACAAATATTAATAAGTTTTGTACATAAAATTAAATATATATACTACCAAATAGATGGAGTGATTTTTAATAAGTTTAACAATTTTGCCCATTATAAATAAATTCAAATTATATTTATTTAAATCAATATAATTATATAAAATTAAAATACAAAGATAAAAAAAAATATATATTTACATATTACATAAAACAACCAATTACAATTATATTTTTATTTCTTAATTTTTTTAAAAATATAGGAATATATATTTATTGATAAGAAGTATGATTTATTATATAATTAATAAATAATTAAAAAATAATTATAATATAATAAAAATAATTATAAATTAAAACTAAAATAATTTAATAATTTAATTAAAATACAAAAAATTTATAAATTATAAATTTTAAAATATAATTACAATATATAATTATAATTTTTAAAAATTAATAATTTATATAAGTCAAACAAATATGAAAAGGACAAATGTCAAACGAAATAAGTATTTGTACATGAATCAACAAATGATTATATTTTATATTTAAATAAATGCCAGCGACAGCGACTAAAATTCAGCAAATGGTGTGCTATTATAGTTTTAAACAAAAACATATGCTATATCGTGGATTGGATTGTCTAACAACATGCAATATTATTACAGACAAGATAATATACTCCCTCCATTATGTTATATGTAAATTTTTAAATATTAATATTATATTAAATTGTAGTAAAAAAAAAAACAATAAATACCCGGTATAATATAATATAAAAATAATAACATTTATATAATATTTTACAAATTGAAAAAATATTTATTATGATAAGTAGATAATACAAATTAAGAAATAATAACCTTATTTTGGAATGGACAAAAATGAAAAATAGTAACTTTTCAATAAAAGAGATGAAATATTTGTTAATATAATACAAATACAACACATATTAAAAAAGATACATACCTTTATTAGAAACAATATATACGGCATATAATAATAATGTGTGCTATATATATAATATGCTGAGTTGATGCTGATTTTTTTTAAATTCAGCACTCTAATCATCCCCTAAATAAATATAATACTTCTTCCGTCGCATAAGTAAATATCTATTTGCTTTTTGCACAATTTTAGAAATATTAGTATTATATTAAAATATAATATAAATAAAACAGAAATAACTAAAATAACTATATATGTGATATAAAAATAATAACATTTGTATAATGTATTATAAATTATAAGAGTATTTTTAATATTAAATAAATAATATAGTTACTAAAAAAAATAAATACTTTATTATAAAACGGACTAAAATAAAAAAATAAATACTAGACGAAAAAAGTATAAAAGCATTAGATACCTAAAATAACATTGAATGCTGCAAAAATTGCCCCAAGGAGGCCAGATTAATGTAACCATGAAGAAAATAAATTAAACCCTTAGACTATTGAAATTAAGCAACAATTACATTACTGTGTGCTGAACAGCATGAAATGAACCACAAAAAAAACCCCTATTATAAAAAATATAGTATAATTTATATTAATATAATACAAATAAACACAACTTAAAAAGCATATATCATATGCCTATAAAAACACATATTTTCTTATATCACATTTTAAATATAAACAAATAACTGTCTTATTTCACATACCATACGCTATCAACACTTGTAATTTAAATACCATAGCTGAATCTATCTAATTTAACACAATCAAATTTAAAACTCATACCATCGGGTATCATACAATAATTTAATTTGCAATTATCTCCAAAATTTCTTCAAGACATAAAACTAATCCCAAAACTCATGAGAATGTACCACCCACGAAAATCAACTGCAATTTTATGAATACAGCTGACAAAGTTGAGAGACGATTATAGGGAATTATACGCACCCTTCTGCTGTTAATCCTCCCAAAAGGGCGTACAGTACATTCCCAATTCATAATAATAATAATAATAATAATAATAATAATAATAATAATAATAAACCCCTAATCAGGCAGAAACACTAAAATAAAAACAAAAAAGAAAATTAAGCATTATTACAGGTCCATGAAATTCAATCTCATATTAAGTTCCAATTCAGATTTAAAACATAGAGAAAGTTCCCAAACAATATTACTAAAGCTTGTAACCTCGAAGAAAATAGTGTCCCAACAACTGGAAGCATTCGAAATGGCAAGGAAAGATTAAAGCCTCCTTCCCCTCCTGCCACCCTTTCTTCGGGTGCTGTCAGTAGGAATTGGCGTCACATCCTCTGTAAAGTAATGACAAGAATCAATTACCATGAAAATGTTGCCATGTGAATGAAGAGATAGTATAGATCAAACAAAAATAATCAAATCATATACCTATTCGGCCAATCTTCATTCCAGAACGAGCAAGTGCTCTAAGTGCAGACTGAGCACCAGGGCCTGGGGTTTTAGTCTTATTCCCCCCTGTAGCTCGGAGCTTTATGTGAAGAGCATTAATGCCCAACTCCTGTATGAAGAGTCCAGACCGGTTAGTAAATTTGTGAGATTAGGCATAGACAAGATATCTAAGCTAAAAAAGTCTTGACATCTTACAACCTTGCATCTTTGGGAAACATCTTGCGCTGCGAGCATAGCTGCATACGGAGAAGATTCATCCCTATCAGCCTTCACCTTCATGCCACCTAAATACAAACCACGACCAACATATCAGGAAGTAATTATCAATAATTAATGAGTTCAACAAGAAAGAATCAAGACCAAAGGGGAATCCATAAACTTACTTAAAAACAGTTCATAAAAGAGAATATGAAGCATACAGCATCATCTGTTACACACTAAAAGACAGGAGGGGGCAAATTTGAATAAAAGAACACTTCAAAATCATGTTTGATTGCAGCTCATCAACAATTTTAATCTTGCCTTCAAATTCAAGCCCACAGGTCACAATATGACATTAAAATGAATACAAATGAAATTTATATTAATGAATGTAATAAAATAATTACCCCCCTGTGTGCTCACTTTAGTGTTCACACTATTTCTTACAATCATTCTACTTCAATCCAAAATCTAAATTACCAACACTATAAAATTATTTTTGAACATACAACCACCTTAGAGTACCTGTAATGCGAACCATTGTTTCCCTTCCAGACAAGTCAGTGACATGCTGTGAGCAAAATACCGACATTAGGAATTACTGACAGATCACCACGACGACAACAAGCTTAGCTAGAGGAGCAATACTCACAATGAAAGTATCATTAAATGAAGCAAATATATGCGCCACGCCAAAGACCAATTCTCCATCCCTAGTCGCAGGTCCAAGGGTAACATTCTCTTCCTTGGGCTCTCTGGTCTTTCTCCTCGACTATTAAAGGCAAGATAACAAATTTTTTGTCCATAAGATACACGCAAAAAGCTATATATTACTTCAGGTCGTCCAGGATAGGATAGGGATCTTAAGAAAAAAACTAAAACTTGAAAAATAAAGATGAGAAATGAATGGCACGAAACGGATTTCAATGCAATATAAAGATTTCACATAAAGAGATCAAATTCTCTCACCCAACAAAAATGGCCTTCATTCAAACTGAGATCAATAAAATGCTAAACTTTGCACCAATCCTACGAAAAAAATTCACACAAAAACGGTCTACTGCGTACAAAAACGCATTATGAAGCGAGTAAAACAAATCAACAAACCAAAACAGGCCTGAACATATATTCCACAGAACAAATCAAAATTAAAACCAGATCTTCAAAGCTGCTCCTATGATAAAGAACAGAAACACTAGGTTCTGAAATTTTAGGGAAAAGTACCATGGCTTCAGCTGCGGCGGAGGGCGGCGAGGTTTCTAAGCTACACTGCTGCTGGTCGAATAGCAGAACCCTAATTGCAGCGTCCAAATTTATAGGCAGGTGTTGAGGTGAGTTAATAGTGGGCTTACTTTTTTGGGCTTTAAAAGCCCAATTAAAGCCCAAAAATATTACACTCTCATAAATGAAATTATAGTTAACGTCGGCCGTCCGAGATCTCGTTCCTAGTGCTCCCTCCTAGGGTTTAACAGCCTTCTCCCTCAATCTGAGAGTTGTAGTGAGTAAGCACTCGACAAGGCGATTGAGATGGACAAGAGCATGCTCGGCGACTTGGACGCTCTACCGGAGGAGGATAAGATGCGCATGACCGCCATGATCGACCAGCTCCAAATTCGCGACAGGTATGTGCGGTTTTTCCTAATAGTTTGGGTAATGAAAGGTGGACTCTGATGTCAAATGCGAATTGATTGAGGTAAACGCTTTAGGATCTGTAGAAATTGCGTTCACTTGGACATTGGAGGAAATTTTGAAACTTGACATGATTGAATATGAAGCGGGTGAATGAAACTGTCTCTGTATTTATTGTAATGTAAAACTATTAACTGAGGAATATTTATAAGACATGTTTCATTGGATTGATTTACTGTTTTTGTGTGAAATGGTATATGTGAATTTTTTTTATCTAAACAGGATGAATTGATTGCGTATCTTCGAGTTTCGGAGCTACACAATCCAAACATAATATCTCATTCTATTGATTTGCTTAGATAGGTTGAATATAATCATTTATTTACATAGTTAGGGTGTGTTTGTTTGGGGGTTTGGATTTTGAGTTGGGATTTGAATAGTAAAAGTTTTGAATTTGAATAGTTGTATGATGTGATATAAATAGGTTTTGACGTAATATTTTGAATGTAAAATTGATTTTTAAGTATAATATAAAAAATGAAAAGTAGGTGTTTGGTTTGATGTTTTTGGGGGAAAAAATTGGATGAATAGTGGAAAAAATATTCAATCCCTTGTCTGAGGATTTCATTTTTGAATTTGGATTATGATCCGTAAAATTTTGAATTTTAATAGTCGTATGATATCATACAAATAGGTGATATGCTATGTTTTTCATATAAAGTTGTTTTTTAATATAATATAAAAATTTGAAAATTTATGCTTGATTTGATGTTTTTGGAAGGAAATTTTTGTTGAACAGTAGAAAATCACAGAAAAATCGTCACACAAACACAACCTAAATTAGTTTGCTGAGTTGAGTGCTAATAGTATATGTTTTCATTTTGGATCTGCATACATGCAATCTGAGCAGTCTAAATCTGTAGCTTTACTAAAATTGATTGATTCATAAGCCCTGGGTATAGAATGAAATTTTTTGACTTCACCAAATTCGATTAAGAGAGTCTTTTTTTACTTCATGTAAGAAAAAAAATAGTTGCATTGATTCGCAATTCGTTCCTATGGATGTGTTTGGATAATGCTTCATTTAATTAACCAATTATTTATCATATGTATTTTTACACTACAAAATATAATATAAACACTTATTTTTTATTTAAATATTAAGTACAAAAATCATTTTACATTTGAAAAGTATCAAAAACTTATTTCAATTGAAATTTTTAATATTCGTAAACCATCAAATCACTCCCATATCACATCCAAACGATTGATTTGGATTCTAAATATGTCTTCACATTAGCATTGCATTAATCCTTCGGCTTGTTGAATCCCAGAATATGAAGTGGCTTCCTGTTCTTCCGGAGCCTAGAATTCTATTTCAGTGTATTCTGATGCTTTTTGTCCCCGTAAACAATGTATGATCTCCATGGTGGTGCTGAATGTTTTGTTTTTGATCATGCAGTTTGAGGATGTACAATTCGCTGGTGGAGAGATGCTTTACTGACTGTGTCGACACATTCCGGCGCAAATCTCTCGATAAGCAAGAAGAGACGTGTGTTCGTAGGTGTGCCGAGAAGTTCCTGAAACACTCAATGCGAGTGGGCATGAGATTTGCAGAGCTCAACCAAGGAGCTGCAACACAAGATTAAGTTGTTTTGCGAATTTCGGGCTTTGTTCCCATGCCGGGGGTGCTAATTCATTCCATCAATTTCTGCCTACTTTTGAACTTTGGCGATATATCATTGTTTAGTTTTGAAGATATTTATTTGAACTGGCAGGTCTTTGTTTCTTGTACTTTCTTTACGTTACAAATAAGAACAGAAGTCTCTTTTCTAACACCCTTTTGATACATTGCTTGTATACTATGGTTTCTGACTCATGGATAATGGTTTGTTCACTGGAGTTATATATATACATATACATACTAGTAGCTTGTTGTGCAGTGTAGCGCACATATTTGAATTTGTATTTTAAAAAAGTTATACTTTTACTATAATTTTTTAGGTTAACAAGTAAACAATAGTAGTATCGTGGCATCCAAAAAAAAAAGTTTAAATTGTTCTGTGTTTAGCTAATGATCATATGTCAGTAAAGATAACAAATGTAGAATGCATCGTGTCGTCAACCTAATTTACATGTAACCAATTTTTTGAGCTCATATCTAACTTTTACATTGAGAATTAATATGAATTTAGCTCTTTATTTTACATTAAAATCGAGGGAGTAAAACATGTTTATGTCTATATTGCCAATTTTCTTGTCTCTACGTATGATTTTTAGACCTCAATGTGTTAAATTATGAGTTTTTTTTTGCATTTCGAACCAAATATTGTAGTGGGAAGCTAGATCATATATTCAGTCATTTTAGTGGTGTAACAAAAATGGTCAAAATATACTATAAAATGGAAATTAAAATTGATAGTGAGATTATAGTAAATTTCATTTGTCAAAATGCACTTTCAAAGTAAACCAACACATTTAATAAATAATACATGATGGATGAAAAGCATCAAAAATTATTTGAGCCAATTGACAAATATTGAAAATGAAGTCACAGCATTACTGGTATCGCTCAAAATTGTTGATGACGATCCAATAAAATTAGGTTGTTCGAAATTGACAGGAATTGAATTCTCCGGCCTACTCAAGAAAGTATCCGAATTTGGTCTCGCTGTAAAAATTACCATGCAATATATTCGGGTGAAATAGATCGACAGTTTTAGAGTTATCTAATATGATAAAAATGAATGAAAATTGAATTGGATTGAGGCAATTAGATTGAAATTTTAGGAGCTGGAATGTAACAAAAGGCTAGTACTAAAAGCAACATAAAAAGATAGAAACACAAAGGTGCTATTTGGTTCGAAATGGAGCCAAAATATATGAACAAAAATAAAATTAGAAAGAAGAAAAATTATGACATAGAATAAAAGAAAGAAAGAAAGTAATCTGAAATTTAGATGTGTTGGTAGTTGAAGGATGAGTTGATGATGATCTTTCCTATTTTGGCTCCTTTAAATATTCATGGATTTGTCTTGTTTCCGATGTCTCTCTCAACTCCTCTACTCAACCACTTTGTTCTACAATTTTCTCCACTTTTATTCTTTTAAGAAACTATTAACTCACCTCTCCATCACCCAAGTGGGAGGTTGACAAGGTTCTCATCTGCACACAATTTTGAGCACGGTTGAAATTGTTTGGACTGGTCCATCCACTCTTCAGGGCTGGGCTTCTAATCACCTTCGGAAGCCCAAAAATATTTGAGGGTAACAATTACACAATAGGAGTTGTTGTTTAATCATGTACTTTCCAAAGCCCTATGATAAAAAGAAAGAATTGTTCGGACAGTTTATGAACTTGAAGAAATAGATCTTTCAACACATGGGCATTGGGGCAAGTGAAAAATTGCCTCCTGGACAACAGAATGTACGGCATTTGCAGAAAAATAGTATAGCACCACGGTACACAAATGGTCCAATGGGTGAATACTAAGGGAAGCGGTTTCTTCGGAAACTGCGAAAAATTAAAAATTTTCTTATAATTTTTACGAACAAACATAAAACACAATTCCTGTCCACGTAGAAACAAAATCAAAATCAACTTTCAAAATATATTAAAAATAAGAAACAATGAAAAAGTCATGAAAGCGCAAACAAACACCGTAACACGAAATCCAGTCCGATATCAAGAAGCAGCCAAATAAGACTACTTGCACATGAAGAGGTATAGAATAAAATGTTTTTTCATCAAGCCAGAAAGAAGCAAACAACATGAAAGAAGGTTTCGTGAATGGATGATGCATTATTATTATTATTATTATTATTATTATTATTATTATTATTATTATTAACATCCGTCGATCTGCCACTAACAATGAAAGTGTATAATGAGATACCAGTACTTCGATTGACAAATCTCATACAACTTGCAGTAGTATCTTGTAGTCAAAACAATTAACTACTATTTCACCAGAGCATCTGACAAGCAAACATCCAAAATTTAGAAATCAGAACACAACGAAAAATGCAGACAATTATCAATCTTCAGCCAATTTTAATACCCAATCAACCACAAATCCTCTATAATGAATATGCAAAACAAAGCCCGAGCTAGACGATGAAACCAACTCATGATCTCATATTGTTGGGACTAGGTCAACTCAACACTAGTATGATATTGTCCGCTTTGGGCTGAGCCCGCACGGATTTGTTTTTGGATATCCTTCAAAAGGCCTCATACTAGTGGAGTTCACTTGGGACTTATAAGGTGTGTAATTTTCTTCGCAACTTTCAATGTGGGACTTGGGCTTGCACTCCAACAATCCTCCCCTCAAACCAAGGACCTTCCCTGCCCACTTTATACCGCTTATCACAAAGGGACCTGCTGCCTGACCACCTCAATCGGGACCAACCCAACACCGCCAGGAGACTTTCAACACAAGACACATCCGCAGGTCACGTGGGCGAGCCCACTACCACAACCAATGCCCAATGCCACCCAGTCCACTTCATCATCTAACCAGACTCTGATACCACTGTTGGGACTAGGTCAACTCAACACTAGTATGATATTGTTCGCTTTAGGCTGAGCCGTATGGATTTGTTTTTGGATATCCTCCAAAAGGCATCATCCTAGTAAGGCGGCCCTAGGCCAGGGGTGTTCGCCCATGCCCAATCTAAATATGATCCATTATATATTTATGTTATATATACAATATTTATATATATATATATATATTATTTGATATTAATATACTAGTTGAGAAATATGACCTAATGGTTATATGAGATTTTGGGTTAAACCCATATATCCTCAAAATTTGTAAGTATTTTTTTATGCATTTGACAAAGTTAATATTAATTAATACTATAATTAATATTTTGCATATAAAAATATTAGAAATTTTATTATATTAACTATTTATATTTTATTATAGATAAAAAAATATATTATTTATAAATATTTTTTAGACAAAATTAATATTAATCCTATTATTGATATTTTATCTAAAAATACTAGAAAAAAACTATTTTATCTAATTATTTATATTCTATTATAGGTAAAAAATATATATATACTTCATCTGTCCCTTATATATTTATTTGATTGCTTTTTGCACTGAGTTTTAGGAATTTTAATATTATATTAGGGTGTGATATGAATAAAATAAAAAAGACTAATATAACTTTATTATTAGTATTGTGTGATATAAATGTAATGATATTTGTAATATATTGTAAACTCTAAGAGCATTTTTAATGTTAGTAGAAAGTACCGTTGCTAAAAAAAAATAGATATTTTTTATTGGACGGATCAAAATAGAAAAATGAATAAATTGTTAAGCGAGAAGGACTATATCATTTATAAGGAGTCTTTTATTTTTATTTTTTATTTTTTATTTTTTGCATTAAGAAGAAAATAAGTATTAGACAAAATTATTATTATTCTTATTAGTCAAAATTGTTAATAAACTCTCTTGTTGTTTTGAAATTTAGCATAAATCTTTCTATAATTTATAAATTGCATAACGCGCTGATATAGAAGATAATTTTTCATTTATATTTTTTTGTATGGTATGAGTTTTATATAACATTTGTTAAACTATAAAGGGACGCCATACAATTTTTAAAATACATGAAAATTTTATGCTAAATTTCAAAACTATATGAAAATTATGAGCAATTTTGTCTTATTATTATTATTATTGATATTTTTGCATAAAAATACTAAAAAAAAATATTTTTTATTATTTATATTTTATTATATGTAAAAAAATATTATACATATTTAAGGGCCCTTAATTTTTATTTTACCCCGGACCCTTCAAAAGTCAGGACTGACCTGATGATAAGTATAATTATGCATAGATAATCCAAAATAATATCATAATCCTATCCTGAAACCACAAAATGATCAACCAAGAGGAATCAGTAGAAATCTCATCTAAGAGTCGAAGCATGATTTTAGGCATAATGATAAATATCCATCGGTATAGCCTGCAAGGCCCGGTGACAATTGAACATGCTTTGAGAATCCTAAACTGCGTCCTACAATTGTATTAACCAAGTATGGTGAACTTCTTGCAGGTTGGGGACGGGTAGCTACTACGGCTGGCAAACAGATTATGTCAGGTCGGGTTCGGGTTCAGGTCAGCTTAAACGGGTTATAAAACCCTTGATCTGACCCATTTAATTAAATGGGTTGATATTTGTAATCTTAACCTGACTTTTTATTAATCGGGTCAACCTGAATCTAACTCGTATAACCCGTTTAATCTAAAAATTTTAAATTTTAATTTAAAATTAAAATTTATACTAACAAAATTTTTAAATGCATAATATGTACACATATTAAAGCAAAAAATTATTTATTTATATCATGAAACCGATCTTCAAGAATTGAATTAACAAACACTACATAATAGTACACAACACAATCCTTTATTTTTTATTGTTTATTTTTATAAAATTGGCCATAAATATTGAATTGTATTGATAAAATTTAAAAAATATATTTAAATTTAAAATAATATTAATTAAACGGGTTAGACGGGTTTTTTTCAGGTAAAAAATGTAGACCTTAACCTGACCAATTTAATTAAATGGGTTAAACGGGTTTGACCCAATTATTAATTGGGTCGAAAATCTCAACCCAAACCCAACTATTTCAGGTCAGGTTCGGGTCGGGTTATCAGGTCGAGTTAATTTTTGCCAGCCCTAGTAGCCACACATGGCCGGTAAACGAATCAGGTCAGGCAAGGTTCAGGTTTGGGTCAGCTATAAACAAGTTAGAAAATTTTTGATCTGAATCTAACCCATTTAATTAAACGAGTTTATATTTGCAATCTTAACATAAATTTTTATTAATCGGGTCAACCTG